CCAGGGACCCTTTTTTTTTTTTTTTTTTTTGAGAGATTTTTGCTATAGGGCGCATGCGCTTGCCAGACAGATACAGACAGAGAGACAGAAAGCGAGAAATCACCCTTCAAGGGGTATGGCCACGCCACAATCCCTTCTCCTCCACTCTCCTCTCGGGATCTTGGGCAGGCCCGCACACACGCCCGGCGTGAGTTTTAAGCCACCAGGTCCGGGAAGCCAACCACGGTCGACTACGTGGGAGTCCAGTGACATAGCCATTACACTAACTGCTGGTCCCAAACCCAGAACTCTTCATCCCTCCTTCTTCTGACCTGGAAGCTTCCACTGCTCCCCATCCTCAATCTTAGTGTCTCAGTTCCACATGTGTCCTAATCCCCTATCCTCAGACTGGGAACCCATCATTTCTCCCCATTTCCAACCCAAGATGCTTTGATTCTTCCCCTTCATTCTTCCTTAATTTAAGGATCCCTATCTTTCCTTTTTGTCACCTGAGACTCCCAAACTCTCCATCCTCAGCCCAAGAGGCCCTAATGCTCATGTCCTCAATACTCTACATCAGTGTTCTGACTTCCCATTCTCCTCCCTTCCTTGACCTAAGAGTCCCAATTTCTCCCCACCAGTGATTTAATTGTCCCATTCTCTTCCTCTGATGTCTTCTTCTTCTGCTGTGTCTGTATTATGACCTCGACTTCCACATCCTCTGAGACAGTTCCAACTCATCCATATCCCTGGCTTTAACAGTCCTTCGTTCTTTCTAGTCCTCAGCCCAGCTTTCCATGCTGCTCCTTCCTCAGATGAAGAGCTTTCCCCTCTTGTTTTCCCTCACCCTCAGTGTCCTTCCCCAGTCTCACCCCTAAATCTTCCTGGGCTCCTCCTCTACAGTTCAAAAGTTCCCCACTTCTCCCTTTCAACGTTATCGACCACCAGTCCTGTCTACCACTTTCAGAACCCTTATTTCTCCCTCCATGTTGTAATTCTTCCCCTTCCTCTGGGTTCTTGTCCCAGGATCATGCCATCCCTAACTTGCAGTGTTGTAACTAATTACTCCTCATCGTCCACGAGTCCCCTATTCCTCCTTTTGAGCATTCCAACGCCCTCATTTCTCTCTGTCATCGTTCTGAAGGCATTTCCTCCTCTCACCGTTCTAAATCCCTATTTCTCTCTCCGCACCTTGCGAGGCCCCGACGTCTCCCCTTTGCGCTCTGTTCACCCCCATTCCTTTCCGTCCTAGTCTCAGGATCCCGTCACTCCCACCTGTCAGCGTCGGAACCCTATTCCTTCCCGCCTTCTGCCTAAATCCCCCTATTCCTACCCTTCAATATTCCGACGCCGCCATTCCTTCCCCTCAACGGTCTGAGGGCCCTTCATTCCTCCCCGTCAGCGCTCCGAGGCTCAATTCCTCCCCATCCTCCGCTTGAACGCTCTCCACTTCCACCCCCAACGCTGTCTCACCAGCTTGGCACCAGGCCGGTAGCTTCCGCTGCTCTAGGCCAAGACACCCATGGTGAGGGTCCGGCCTGCACCTCCCGCCTTGCCCTACTCTTCTTCCTCCTCCGCAGCCGCCTCCTCCGAAGCGTTAGCTGTCGCCTCCGCGGCCGTTCGTTGCTCCAGGAACCGGATATCCGCTGCCTGCCTTTGGGTTCCACCCCCGGCGAGACACCTGCGCGTTAATGCCTCGACAGAGCGTGCCCTTAATGGGGAGGCTCCCGCGCCTGCGTACTGACGTCCCGCAGCGGCGAGCACACCCTCCTCCCGCGCTGGGGACCTGATGCGCCTGCGCATTAATGTCCAATCGCAGCTCGCACCTCTGCAAGAGACCTCAGCGGCCTTGTCCTGAGATCCCGCCCATCTAGTTCGCGCCTGCGCTCTCTCGAGGAGGCGGGACGGTAGGAGCTACGCCTGCGCTTTGCGTTCCCTCCAGCCATCCCTACAGAGTAACCTGCGTACATAGCGAAGACTTTGGTTGCGCATATACACATCGTTCCTGCTTCTCGCCAAGTTCATGCCGGTGCTCTCAAGTCCCTCAGAACGTCTACCCTAGAGCTACTGCATCCCCCTCTCTCCTTCGCTCCGAACAGCTGCAGGAGCGCTGGGAGACAATGAGCGCTAACGCCGAGGGCAGGCCAGTGCTCCTTCCGTGGGAACTGGGGAAGGGGGCGGTGCCGCGCTGTAGATAAACAGAAGCGTGAAGGGAAGGCGTGTTTCTTCTCCAAGGGCCATGCTGTGCCCGACTAGGAGAGCCGGTGAGGTTCCCTGCAGAGTGGGCTCCCGTTGAATACACGCCCCAAAAGTAACGTTTGTGAAGTAGTAGATCCTTGTGTCTATCACCGATTTCACCTCTAGTCTGGAGAATATTTACTCACACAGGAGTGGTAAATCAGACATACACTGAATAAGTGCTGGCTGTACACTGACTGTCCCAAAGTGAGATGCAGAGTATGTCATCCAGTGTCAAAAAGTAGATGCCAACTGTATACTTAACCTACACATATATTACCCCTCTCTTGAGTACAGGTGTGCCAAGGCCCATCTTATCCAGGGCTATATGAACACAGTTGCAACGGAGCAAGTGTAGAAGCCAGAGGAGTTATCTTTCTTAGTTCTTCAAAATTTTATTAACAAAACCCAGGAAGAGAGGAGGCAACGAGTGAGTAGACTTCGTAGTCCCACCCAAAACAAGAAATGGAGAACTAGACAGAGGGAATCTGAGACCCTCTGGTAAGGGCAAGTGGGTAGTCAAATGGTGGGTGGGCACAAGGAGAAACTCGACAGTGAAGAAACTGGAAGAACCAAATGGAGGAACAAACATGGGGTGAGGGCAGCTCCCCCATCTGGAATGCCAGGTGTGAGGTGGTCTGGGCCAGGAGGCTCAGCGATCAGCACTGGAGCGCAGGTCGGTAGTGAGTGGGTCATGTTGGATTGTTTGGTGCAGCATCAGGGCGAGTAATCCTGCCCGGTTTGTCATGGCTGTGCGTACATTGCGCTCCTGCTCAAACAGCTCATCAAGTTTGTACCACTGCCCAGAAAACATAAGGAGCCATAAGAAGGGCCTCTTAAGTCCTGCCTGGACCCAGCCACATCCAGTATCAAAACCTACCACACGCACGCGCTCCAAATCCACTTCAGCACGCCTCAGTTTCTCCCAGCAGTAATGGCGATTGCACTGGCGCTTGGGCAAGCGGCAGAAGTCACCTGTGAGCTCAAAGACATCACGAACAAGGGGGCAACCACACACCTCGTCAGCTGGCACCTGCAGGGAAACCAGAGGTGGTTGAGGGGTGATTAGGGAGGAGATCAGGGAGGGTGCCCATGGAGAGAAGGAATAGAGTTCAGGGAGAGTGAAGAGGCATGGGTAAAGGGAAGAGTAGAGGGTTTAGAGGCAAAGAGATGGAGGAATAGGTGATGATAAAAGGAAAAATGGTTGATAAAGTAGAGAGTGGGAAGAATAGAAGTGGTCAGGTAGAGAAAAGGAAAGTGCCATGGTTTGATGTGTCCTCCCCCTAAACTTCAAATATTAAATTTGATTGTGTGGGGCCAGCAGGTGGCATGGTGGTTAAGGCACTGAACTCCCACGTGGCTGACTACAGTTAAAGAGTCCTGGACCTGGCGGCTTGCTTTCTCACTTTCTCTCTCTCTGATGAGCATGTATGTGCCCTGTAGCAAACTGAAAAATAAGTAAAAGGTTATTCTTTAAAACAAAAAAATGTGGTTGTGACAGGATTAAGAGGATTAATCTATGTGTTAAAAGGTGGAGGTTTGGGGGGAGTGATTAGGTCATCAGGGTGGGACCCTTGATTGAATCCTAGTAGGTTTATTAGGAACAGGAATGAGACACAGAGACAGACAAGGACACATGCAAGCTCTCAGCATATGATGCTCTATGCTGCCTTGTGATTCTGCAGAGTCCCCACCAACAACAGACATGGCTCCTAATCATGGCCCTTTGAAATCATGAGCTAATACAATATTCTTTACAAATTATTTGGTGTGGTGTGGTATTGTTAGCAACTTAAAACTCATCCATATCCCTGGCTTTAACAGTCCTTCGTTCTTTCTAGTCCTCAGCCCAGCTTTCCATGCTGCTCCTTCCTCAGATGAAGAGCTTTCCCCTCTTGTTTTCCCTCACCCTCAGTGTCCTTCCCCAGTCTCACCCCTAAATCTTCCTGGGCTCCTCCTCTACAGTTCAAAAGTTCCCCACTTCTCCCTTTCAACGTTATCGACCACCAGTCCTGTCTACCACTTTCAGAACCCTTATTTCTCCCTCCATGTTGTAATTCTTCCCCTTCCTCTGGGTTCTTGTCCCAGGATCATGCCATCCCTAACTTGCAGTGTTGTAACTAATTACTCCTCATCGTCCACGAGTCCCCTATTCCTCCTTTTGAGCATTCCAACGCCCTCATTTCTCTCTGTCATCGTTCTGAAGGCATTTCCTCCTCTCACCGTTCTAAATCCCTATTTCTCTCTCCGCACCTTGCGAGGCCCCGACGTCTCCCCTTTGCGCTCTGTTCACCCCCATTCCTTTCCGTCCTAGTCTCAGGATCCCGTCACTCCCACCTGTCAGCGTCGGAACCCTATTCCTTCCCGCCTTCTGCCTAAATCCCCCTATTCCTACCCTTCAATATTCCGACGCCGCCATTCCTTCCCCTCAACGGTCTGAGGGCCCTTCATTCCTCCCCGTCAGCGCTCCGAGGCTCAATTCCTCCCCATCCTCCGCTTGAACGCTCTCCACTTCCACCCCCAACGCTGTCTCACCAGCTTGGCACCAGGCCGGTAGCTTCCGCTGCTCTAGGCCAAGACACCCATGGTGAGGGTCCGGCCTGCACCTCCCGCCTTGCCCTACTCTTCTTCCTCCTCCGCAGCCGCCTCCTCCGAAGCGTTAGCTGTCGCCTCCGCGGCCGTTCGTTGCTCCAGGAACCGGATATCCGCTGCCTGCCTTTGGGTTCCACCCCCGGCGAGACACCTGCGCGTTAATGCCTCGACAGAGCGTGCCCTTAATGGGGAGGCTCCCGCGCCTGCGTACTGACGTCCCGCAGCGGCGAGCACACCCTCCTCCCGCGCTGGGGACCTGATGCGCCTGCGCATTAATGTCCAATCGCAGCTCGCACCTCTGCAAGAGACCTCAGCGGCCTTGTCCTGAGATCCCGCCCATCTAGTTCGCGCCTGCGCTCTCTCGAGGAGGCGGGACGGTAGGAGCTACGCCTGCGCTTTGCGTTCCCTCCAGCCATCCCTACAGAGTAACCTGCGTACATAGCGAAGACTTTGGTTGCGCATATACACATCGTTCCTGCTTCTCGCCAAGTTCATGCCGGTGCTCTCAAGTCCCTCAGAACGTCTACCCTAGAGCTACTGCATCCCCCTCTCTCCTTCGCTCCGAACAGCTGCAGGAGCGCTGGGAGACAATGAGCGCTAACGCCGAGGGCAGGCCAGTGCTCCTTCCGTGGGAACTGGGGAAGGGGGCGGTGCCGCGCTGTAGATAAACAGAAGCGTGAAGGGAAGGCGTGTTTCTTCTCCAAGGGCCATGCTGTGCCCGACTAGGAGAGCCGGTGAGGTTCCCTGCAGAGTGGGCTCCCGTTGAATACACGCCCCAAAAGTAACGTTTGTGAAGTAGTAGATCCTTGTGTCTATCACCGATTTCACCTCTAGTCTGGAGAATATTTACTCACACAGGAGTGGTAAATCAGACATACACTGAATAAGTGCTGGCTGTACACTGACTGTCCCAAAGTGAGATGCAGAGTATGTCATCCAGTGTCAAAAAGTAGATGCCAACTGTATACTTAACCTACACATATATTACCCCTCTCTTGAGTACAGGTGTGCCAAGGCCCATCTTATCCAGGGCTATATGAACACAGTTGCAACGGAGCAAGTGTAGAAGCCAGAGGAGTTATCTTTCTTAGTTCTTCAAAATTTTATTAACAAAACCCAGGAAGAGAGGAGGCAACGAGTGAGTAGACTTCGTAGTCCCACCCAAAACAAGAAATGGAGAACTAGACAGAGGGAATCTGAGACCCTCTGGTAAGGGCAAGTGGGTAGTCAAATGGTGGGTGGGCACAAGGAGAAACTCGACAGTGAAGAAACTGGAAGAACCAAATGGAGGAACAAACATGGGGTGAGGGCAGCTCCCCCATCTGGAATGCCAGGTGTGAGGTGGTCTGGGCCAGGAGGCTCAGCGATCAGCACTGGAGCGCAGGTCGGTAGTGAGTGGGTCATGTTGGATTGTTTGGTGCAGCATCAGGGCGAGTAATCCTGCCCGGTTTGTCATGGCTGTGCGTACATTGCGCTCCTGCTCAAACAGCTCATCAAGTTTGTACCACTGCCCAGAAAACATAAGGAGCCATAAGAAGGGCCTCTTAAGTCCTGCCTGGACCCAGCCACATCCAGTATCAAAACCTACCACACGCACGCGCTCCAAATCCACTTCAGCACGCCTCAGTTTCTCCCAGCAGTAATGGCGATTGCACTGGCGCTTGGGCAAGCGGCAGAAGTCACCTGTGAGCTCAAAGACATCACGAACAAGGGGGCAACCACACACCTCGTCAGCTGGCACCTGCAGGGAAACCAGAGGTGGTTGAGGGGTGATTAGGGAGGAGATCAGGGAGGGTGCCCATGGAGGGAAGGAATAGAGTTCAGGGAGAGTGAAGAGGCATGGGTAAAGGGAAGAGTAGAGGGTTTAGAGGCAAAGAGATGGAGGAATAGGTGATGATAAAAGGAAAAATGGTTGATAAAGTAGAGAGTGGGAAGAATAGAAGTGGTCAGGTAGAGAAAAGGAAAGTGCCATGGTTTGATGTGTCCTCCCCCTAAACTTCAAATATTAAATTTGATTGTGTGGGGCCAGCAGGTGGCATGGTGGTTAAGGCACTGAACTCCCACGTGGCTGACTACAGTTAAAGAGTCCTGGACCTGGCGGCTTGCTTTCTCACTTTCTCTCTCTCTGATGAGCATGTATGTGCCCTGTAGCAAACTGAAAAATAAGTAAAAGGTTATTCTTTAAAACAAAAAAATGTGGTTGTGACAGGATTAAGAGGATTAATCTATGTGTTAAAAGGTGGAGGTTTGGGGGGAGTGATTAGGTCATCAGGGTGGGACCCTTGATTGAATCCTAGTAGGTTTATTAGGAACAGGAATGAGACACAGAGACAGACAAGGACACATGCAAGCTCTCAGCATATGATGCTCTATGCTGCCTTGTGATTCTGCAGAGTCCCCACCAACAACAGACATGGCTCCTAATCATGGCCCTTTGAAATCATGAGCTAATACAAACCTCTATTCTTTACAAATTATTTGGTGTGGTATTGTTAGCAACTTAAAAATGGATTAGAACAAGAAGGAAGGAGGGGTGAAGAAAGATAGGATGAATGTGAGACAGTACAGAGAAGAAGGGTAGATGGATAAGAGCTGAGGGAAAAACTTACTTTGGGGTCCCGTGAGTGCTCGGGACACAGCACCTGAAGCCGTTTACAGTATGTTTTGCTCTGAGGATTGTAGACATCACAGAAGAGTCGTGTGGCCCTGGAAGTTTGGAAGAGAAAGGGTAGTGGAGGGAAAAGAAGGAAGCCCACCTATCCTTGCCCCTGCCCATATCCTGCCCCAACTCTACATACGTTCTACTCCTGACCCCAGCCTCAACTCCCCTTAGTGCACATGGCTCTAACTCTATATGGCACTCTCACTCACCCTTCAATGCGTGTGGGGTACATGGACCCAAAGGACGTCTGGCTCTCATACTGGAGGAATGAGCACAAATGGAGAGAACTGTGGATGTGTGCTGTACACCCTCCCAAGACACCACCCAGACAATAAATCTGGTCCCACAGGCCCAATGAAGTTCACACACTGTCCAACCCCTCAGGCTGACACCCTGACCTTGGCGTAGCAGCGCTCCATGTGACGCAAGGCAACACGTGGGTTGATAGGGTGCCCACAGGAGACACAAAAGATCTGCAGGTCGGTGTCATCACTGTCACCCTCATTGCTCTGTATGAGGTGGAAGGAAAAATAAGACCAAGAAGGACCACATAGTGGGCCCTGCCCTGCTGTGCTCCTACTGGCTCACCTCTTCATCCTCACGCACTGCCTGCTGTTTGGCACGCAGAATAATGGCCTCAAGCTCATGGAAGCGGCGCTCCATTTCTTGAAGGCGTGTGCGGGCACTCTGCTGCTCACGGCGAATGCGTTCGAGCAGCTTCTTGCCATGCTCTTCAGCAATGCAAGGACTCTGCTGCCACTGCTGAATGCGCTGGGGGAGGATCTCGTAGATGCGGCTGCAGAAAGGCAGTGAGCAGGTACCGGCAGGGAAGGTGGCAAGTGACAAAATAATTAAGTGGGGTAATATAAGCATGGCAAATGAACAATTGAATAAATGGTGAAAGGATAACAGGAGACTGGAAAGATGGAAGATGGATGCATGGATAGGTGACTGAAGAGTGGGAGAATGGGCAAGTGGATAGATGGTTGATAGATGAATAGGTGGGTATTTGGTTGACTGAATGGGAGCTATGTAACTGACAAATAGATACAGAGGGGGCTCTGGTTGTGCCCTACCCCATAGTCCTGCTCTCTTTAAGCCCCCATGAATGACTCACTTGGCTGCCAGCTTCATGCCACAGTCATCTGAGCAATACTTGGAACCAGGCTGGGCAGCACGCACACAGCCAGGCCCCAGACACTGTGGTAGTGAGGCGGGGTCCTTGACATCAGCCCTCTCTGGGTGTTTCCATTTGTCCTTGTGCTTCTGTTTCTGCCGGTGCCGTTTGTATCTCTCTTCCTTCTGTGGGGACAAGACGGGTCTGGTCAGGGTGGAGCTGAAGCTAGCCCTAGATCCTGTCTTCCCCTCCATTCCAACTCTTCCTGGTTCTTGTCCCATTCAGCCCTGACCTCTGCTTCTCCCCACCCCCATTCCACCCTTTGCCTTCCCACACCCATTTACCCTCTCCATCACCTTCTTCTCAGACTTTTTCTCTCGACGCTTCACATGCTTAACTTTTACTGCCCTCTTCCGCAGCGCAGGATCCAGGAATGGGGACTCTTCTGTGTCGCTCATCCAGGGCTACAAGCAGGGAGTGCACTGACCCAGGTGCCCTACTCAGGGCAACCTCACCACACACTCACTTCCCAAATCAGTCTTCCATATCCTCTGCCTTCTTTCATTGGGGATACTCTCCGCTTCTGTAACTTCTACCCTTCCCCTATGGGATGCTCCTGCCTGCTCACCAGGCTATGGTCATCAAAGGCTCCTGCACAGAAGTCCTGGTACAGGTCAGGGTCTAATGGTAGGTCCTCATCCGAGAGTGGCTCAGGTGTGGCTGTAGCCTCAGGTGGCTCCTTGACTGCTGATGATACTACCGTCCCCTCGTCCTCACGGATGCGCCCCAGCTTCTGTGATGGCTGTGGCTGCTGTTGGGTGGGCAGTGGCCGGCGGGGCCTTGGCAGGGACTCTGAGGGTGTCACCGGCGAGAGCTGCGGGGCAGAATCTCAGGACTGGCCCTAACCGCCCTGCCCGCATGCCCCACCCTGCCCTGGGGGGCTGGACTCACCGAGGAAGGGAAGTACTTGTAGGATTCCTGTGCCGGCAGGAGGAAGGCCCTGGTCAGCCCCAGATGGATGGAGGGTGGCCCTGCCCTAGCCCTGCCCAGTTAGCCTAGACTCTCCAGACACATTTGCCCCATATCCTTTACCATCAGGATATACTCAGCCCTGCCTGACCACCTAGAACACCTGGCCCCACCCTGCCCACACAGGATTTGGGGGGCGCATTTCCTGCTAGCCCAGCATACCTGGTCATGCCCTATAAATCTGGACATGCCAGCCCCCTTCCCACCATTCTGGATATAATCAAGCCCCATGCCACCTGGCCCACCCAAGTCTAGCTTTAGTCAGCCCTTTCTGGACCCACTCCCTCCACCCCCAACCTGATCCTGCCCAGCTCTGCCCATGCTCACCCGGGCCCGGAGCTGGCACTGGCGTAGCCGGCACTTCTGTCGGATCTTGTTGGGGCCCCCGAACTTCTTCATGTCTCTGCAGAAGTCACAGTGGCCACAGTCCTCAGTGCGCCGACACGCCTCACACTCACCACACATCCGAGCTGACCTTTTGATCTGCTGCTGCTGCTGCTGCTGCTGCTGCTGTTGCTTGTGCTGCTGCGTG